CCCCTTGTAGGCCCTGGCTCTTCTTTTTCTCTCCCCCCACCCCGCACGCCCCCAGCACAGACCATCTGCTTCCTCCCCCCTTTGCTCCATGCTCCTCGGTGCAGTGGGCCTCAGTGGGTGCCCTCCGTGCACCCCACTGCTTAGCTGTTTCCCTTCACTCCCTCTGTTTCTGCCCCCCCACGCTCCCAACACCAAATCCAGCAGGCAGGGTTTCTCTGGCAGGCAGGAGTTTCCCCACTGCAGGTCACAGATCTAATTTCGGGGTCGCCCCCTTGTTGCCAGTGATGCCCCACTTCCATTTTAGTGCTGGTGACGGTCACCCCTCTAGCCCCGTCCTTTCCCTCCTCCCCCACGTGCCTCCCGGAAACCCAAGGGACTGGAGCTGTTCCATTTTTATCTCCTACACCCCTAGGTTGGGTAGTGGTGGGTGGTGATGGCTCTTCTTGTGTTTGCAGTTTGGGGGAGATTAGAAGGAATTGCTTTGAGCCTCCCTGATTATCACAGTCATCTTTGTTCAGTCTTTTCTCTTGTTTCCCACTTGCTTTCTGAGAGGAAGCTTTTAAAAGTCCCTTATCCTCTGCTCCTCCATGTTACTAGTGCAGGGGAGGTTGCTGCTCCTCCTGCTTCAGCTGTAGGGCCTGAAGAGGAGAGCGAGACACAAGGACTCTTTAAAAAGAGCATGACCCAAACACAGAGTGAGATTGTCAGCAGCCTTTCTCTGTGTGTTTGTGTTCACTGTTTGTTCCCCACGCCCCATGGTGTCTCCTCTCCAGGTTGGGGTGTGTGGTGGGGGGGTCGCTATGTCGGATGACGATTCGAGGGCCAGCACCAGCTCCTCCTCATCTTCATCCTCCAACCAACAGACAGAGAAAGAGACAAGCACGCCTAAGAAGAAGGAAAGCAAAGTCAGCATGAGTAAAAACTCTAAGCTGCTATCTACCAGTGCCAAGAGGTGAGATTGCTGTCAGTTTTATCACTAATTTGCTTCATCTTCTTCCTCTTTATTTTACTCCATTCCCCCACTGCTCCCTCGCTGCTCCCATTCCTCCTCTCCCCTTGTGTTGAACCTTTCTGCACGACGTTGCCATTGTCTTGCTTTTCTCAGTGTCTTGGTGCAGCGAGTGGCTGCCCAACTTTGCTGCTCTCTCACCTCTCTTCCTGCTTCTTCCTCTGTTCAATTGCAAACATGTCCCTGTATGTTTTTTCCTCCAGGCTGTTATTCTGTCCCTCAATTATTTCTGCTTTCTCTTCCTTTTCTTTATCAGCATCAGTTATAGGGGTGGTGTAGTATTGGTGTGTAGGACCTTAATTGCTCCTCTGCTGCTGGAAGCTTTGTGGTCCTGTGCAAGGCATTGCATTTCAACGTCAGTTTCCCTGTCTGTAGGCTGGGATCGATCTAGAGTGGCTTTTTTATTTCCACAAATGTTTTGGGGATTAATTAATGTTTGTGAAGGGCGTTGAGTTTCCTTGCACTGCGGGAGGGCACTCCAGTGCAAGTGGTGTAATATAGCCCCAAATCTTTTCCATCAAATGCAATACTGTTTCTCTGTCTGCTCATCACTTATATTGAATTTTTTGTGTATGGTTGGATGTTGACTAGAATAAATAATCCACAGCAGGTCCACTTGTGGATATTCTGCTCTAAAATAGTCTTTGCTCGCATCACAGAGTGAGTTGGAGTTTTTTGGGGAGTGAAATAATTTTTATTCCAGAGTAACATCTGTATGGAGGAGAGATGCATGCACAGAATAGTAATTCCAGAACAGAATAGCTATGTCAGTTGTTTTCACCCAGACAGACTCTTGGAGCCACTCAGGAGTAGTTTTTTTATTGTTTTAAATAAATTGTTACACTTTCTTATTTATTCTGTGTTTCACCTGAATTCAGCACCATCCTGCTCCAGGGACCTAAGTGGGCAAATGGAAGTTTTCGAGCAAACTTGCAGTACTTCAGTAAGAGTAATAAACCATCTTACTGAACAGCTTTGCCAGGCAGCACAGGGAGGTTGTATCTGTAGGTGTCAAAAGGGACTGGGGTTTTATGCAAATGCCCTATCGTCACAACTAAGTTCTCTGTGGCTTTTTAGAATTTAGGCAGTTTGGTTATTCCAGATCTTCACCCAGCAGGCTTCTGTGGCAAACTGACATAGATAGTGGCAAGCAGTGTTTGTGTTATGCCCTTAACTGTTTTAAACAGAAGATTGTAAACTGCCTAATGTGAAAAGGCAGGGGCTCTCATGTGTGGCAAGTGGAAGAGAGGCAGAAGGTGCTGGCTGAGTTAAAGGAGAAGGGAGGCAGACTGAGTGCAGGGTGGGGAAATCTGGAGGAGAAGCCTGAGTGGCAGTAATGGTACTCTAGGGAGGAGGATGGTAGCTGGTTGGGCATTTTGTGGCAAAAGCAGCGTGAGCCCAGAATAGTCTGGGCAGGGAGGAAGAGGGTGTTGTCTGAATGTGGTGAAGAGAGGGAGCATCTGGAGTTCTGAGGGAGAGAGGACGTGGGGATGTTGTGTGGCTCTTGAGGGGGAAGAGGGGGGAGAATTGAAGGTGGCAGGAATGTTCAGGAGCTTCGGTCACAGATATTCACCTTCCTTTAAGTGTCCTTGGGAGTGGCGCAGCTCATTCCCTTGGGGCTGATGTTCTTTCTCAGCGTGGTGATGGGAAGCTGAGGGGGAGAGCCAATTTGGCAACAACCGTTTTCTCTCAGTCCAGCAAGACAAAATTCCTTTTCAGGCTGCAGTTTTCTTCTAGCACTTGGTGCATCACATTTGCAGAGGGTTTCCCTCATTTACAGGCTGGTTGGCAGAGTGGAACGGACGGTCCTTTCCACTGCCCCTGTGTGGCTGGCATCTTTATAGGAGCATACAGCAGTGCATCTGCCTGGCTTCAGTGCACGGTGTCCATCTGCTCTTCTGCACCTCTCTGGTTTTGGGCCCCGGTCAGCACTAGTGTGTTTGGGTTGGTGCAAGGCTGCAGCTGAGAGTGACCTTTCCTGCACAGTGTCAAACTTGCAATGACAGTATGTCTGTGAGGTGTGTGTGTTAACTGCTGTCCTACACAGTGACTTACCTTTGTTCCTTCTCCCTTTTATTGCCACAGGATTCAGAAGGAATTGGCTGACATCACCTTAGATCCACCTCCCAACTGCAGGTTGGTGTCAATTCCCTACCTGAGGAGGGTGGGGATAGTGGGGGCTGAAGTGTGTCTCTGTGCATTGTAACTGTCTTCAGAAGCTTTGGATAGAGCTGAGGAATGGCTCTTTAGGTGGCCGATGGTACTTTTGTGAATGCTTGCATGACATTAAATAGCTTCCTGGTCGGGGGTCCTCCAGAGCTTATATGTGTTTTGATATGAGTTTTATGTTTGTGTTTGGGTGTTGTTTGGTTTTGGATTTTTAACAATTGCATTTCAATCTGTTATACTGCTATGTGTGTGTATGTTTCCAAAACTGGCCTATAAAGAAGAGTGTGAAAACTTTCTCCTTGTTTGTTTTTTTTCTGGTTTATAAATCTAATGTCTGACTGCACTAATCTTATATAAATAAGATTTATTTATATAAATTCCTTGGCAGATTCTCTGCCAAGGAAGCAGAGAATGGTAAAATGCTGCAAGCTTTTTAGTTCAGAGTTTTGTTGTGAAAAGTAACTTGCAGTGGAGGGGAAGTGTGGGTTTGTCACTCGGTGGGTGAGTGTGCTACAGGAGCACACATGTTAGCTGATGAAATTAAAAGCAGGGATATTCTGTTACCCTTTGTAGAGCAGCTTGGATTTAAGTATGTTTTAGAAACTTGTACCGTTTGTTTGAACCATCTAGCAGATTGGTTTGGTTTGTTGTGAGGTGGCCTGAACCTCTTCACATTTGGAAAGGAGACAGTGGTAAAGTAACATCTTCAGTTGTGCTTGCTCGTTTGAGAGGAATGTGGCTTTCGGTCTGGTCTGTGCTTTGGCAGCTTACAGCACGGCTCTGTTCTGGTCTTCTTGCTGTGGCTGAGGTTTGAGGCCTTTTGATGTTGGTAATAGCAGAAATCAGAGAAAAATCTCTTTATAAATAACTGTTTCAGTTGATCTTTTCAGTATTGAATTGCCACCCACAAATGTACATGAACCTTTTCACTGAAGCTTTTTGCTGCTGTTAATCTGCAGGGAGGCATTAGCACAAGAGTTACCCAGGCAGGTCCAGAGTCATTCTTTCAGTACCAGTCCCAAGGATCATAATTAATGAAAGGAGGGATAGGATGAGGCATGTGGATAGAGGTCTAGGCTGATAAGAAGGTTTTTGAGCTGTTTGGACGCTAACTGATGAGCTCTGAAATCTAGCTGTGACAATATTGTTTTAGTGACAGTAATGACTGCCTGAATATTACAAGAGCTTCCAGCACTTGGGCTGGAGGTGTCAGTCCTGTCTGCATCTTGACTCTGTGTCAGGATGAAGTCCATCTGCTTTCCTTTCCTCTTCCCACCATAACCTGATTTTCATTGGAAAGAAACCCAGAAGCACAGCTCAGAAAGGCACTGTGTCTTGCTCCCTAGATAACTCAGTCTGGATGATTAAGGTGCTTGAAGTGGAGTCTGAACTTGGCAAATCTCTCCAAAAGTAGTAGACGAGTGTGTCAAATTGCAGGTTTCATCTGAAGTTTTGTGTAAGTTGTGTTAGAACCCTGATTTGTCCTTGTTTCAATTGGCATCATTCACAAGTCAAGTCAAGTTAGCAGACTACCTGTCAAATCAGAGAATGGTTTTTATTTTTCTTTCTTTAATTACATAGACTGCTGAGGATAATGCACTTCAAGGCCCATATAGTAAGTTTGTGTTGTTTCAGTCTTTATAAATATTTGTAATGGTAAAAATTACTTCACAGTACAAGTAGTGATGATTAATCTTCACCCATAATGCACTTACAATTCCTGCCAACCTTCCAATGACAGTGAAGGCTGACAAGTCTTGCAAATAATATGTGAAACTGGTTTAATTGTTACTGTCTCTTCATATGTTGTTGATAGGTAGGAAAACATGAATGGAGGGGTTTGTGTGTGTGTGACCAGAGGACTTTTGGTATTGCTCATGTTGGGGTGAAGTCATCCTACTTCAGTAAAGATGGTGATGAGAGTGAAGGAGAGCAGCTCTGTGTATGGCTGATAAGGTTCCAGCTGTGCAGTCAGACACGGGAGCTTTGCTGCTGTAGCAGCTGGTTTGTAAGAGCAGGCAGGTGCCGACTGCCACAACAGTGAGATGAGTTTCAGCTAGTGCAGTTACAGAGAAAGTTCACCTCTTGTGGAGAAAGAAATAGTCAATTTATGAGTGCGAGGAGATGAAGCAAGTGAGAGACTGGTTGCTACATGATGTATAAGGTTTCCAAAATTTGCTCTGGGGAAGCCTGCTAGCAGTGTCACTGCTTTTTTTTTTTTTTTTTTTTTTTCTCATTTGTGTGAACATTCGTTTGTTTTGAGGGAGGTATTAAATACATAGTTCCAGAATCTAGTTTCAATTTTCTGCCTTCATGACTTTGATTATCCTCACCTTTCCTCTGACCTCCAGTCCCTCATCTCTCTGCTGCCTTTGTACCTCCACAGACTATTTTCAGGTGTCGCCTCCCACAGAGGGGAGGGCAGGCCTCTCCTTTGAGGCATCTCACTCTCTCCTGCAAGACTAATCTCAAAACATACATATTGAGAGACCTATGTATGCTACCAGGTACTGCCTGTCCTGCTGTCAACTTAAGGGGTGCCAAAGTCACAGAAGTCACATTTGAAAATGCGTGTCAGAAACTGTATCCTGTGTGACATTGGAAATGTCATATTCTGGGTTTTCTACGGGATGTTTGTTCTTGCACCCCTTGCCACCACCTTTGTGTTTTCTGCTGTTCTGTGCTGTGCCCGCTGTTTGATAGCAGTTCATTGTTGGCTGTGTTTTAATTCTGGCCCTCGTTGCAAAGTACTGTTCTTCCAGTCTTATTGCAGTAGTGGGAGTTCAAAATACTTAACACATCCCAGGGCATACTGAAAAAAAAAGCTTCAGGTGGTAAATGATTTTTAGTAAGAACTGTTTTATTTTTCTTCTTATAAAACACCACATATAAGGTGCAATTAGAAATAATGAAAAACATTTGATATTTCAAACAAAATAGCTTAAAGCCAAATGAGTTTCATTTTTATTTTTGTAGCTTGCAGTGGCCCTATTTTCATGCATGTAACCAACAGGTCATCTGTTTAAAAAAAAAAAAAAAAGCAAACCACAAAAAAACCCAAATGCCAAGCACGCTCAACGCCCTGTGATTGAGCAGCTGTGTGGGTTTTACACATATGTGGGTAATATGAGGGGAAGTTTATCCCAGAACTTCCTCTCCCCTCAGTACTTTTCTTGCTTCTAGCTCCCTCCCTAACCTGTGCTCCTCTCTCTCTGACCGTTGCTTCCTCTCTGGTAGTCCCTTTGCCCCTCATGCCTCTGTCCCCAGGCTCTGATTTTGATTTTGTGCAGGCGAGTACAGTTCCTTCTCCAGAGGTGCAGAATATGCGCATGCAAATGCAGTCCGCATGCAAGAAATAGATTTTCATTTTCTGAAAAGCTGTACTTAATCATGTCACAAATTTGCGGGTTCCTGGTGGAGGCAGTGCTGTCCTAATACGTGTCCTGGTGTAGCATGTGTATGGTGCTTGGCTACCTCTGAATGGTTCTTGCTCCTCTTCATTGTTTTCGGCTCCTTAGAGGTCTTTAACTTCTGTTGTCCACAAGGTGATTTGACTTCTGATATTAATACTGAGTTATGAAAGTTAAATGTGGGTTTCAAGTTCAAAAGATGGTTAGTCATTCGTGTGACTTGGAGAGAAACTCTGGTTCTAAAGCATTTTGAATCTTTTAAGTGAGTGCCTGGTGATTTCTTCTCCTACTTTGTATTGTATCATAAAGTTATAACTCTTGTTTTACAACTCAGAGAAGGTACCTAGAAGACTTTGGCCTTTCGCTCTTCTGTATACATTGGTGGCAGAGGAGTTTGTCATGTCTTTGCTTTGGGTCATGGAAGTCTGTATCTGCTACTGCCTGCAGGTGTCAAAATACGGTTCCATCTTGGTACCTAGGCAGGCCTGATCTTTGTGTGCAGGTAACTTGTAGGAGTATTGTGCCAAAGTTTGCCTGCTTGGAAACTTCGTCACAGTGACAGGCTTTAACAGAAGTTAATTAAAGCTTTAAGCACTATTTATTCTCTTTATGTCATTTATTTGACCTCTGTATCTAAGCATCTCCTGATAGTAAATCTGCTTATTTCTGTGAGGTTATGAAAGAAATGTTTTTCCCCGTTTTAAGGATGGGGAGTTGCAGCATACAAAAGCCAAGTGACTTGTCCAAGGTCACACAGGAAGTCTATGGCCAAGTGGAAAACTGAATGTAAATCTCCTTTGTCTCAGGCTAACTTGCAGCTGAGCTGTTCTGCTGGAGCTGTGTGCGTTGGTTGCATTATGAGCAGGGCTTTGAATCTGTGCTTTATTGGGTGTCTGGTATTGACTGTATGTAAGCATGGTAATTTAATGTTATTTTTCCCATCTGTGTAGAGAGACCAAAATGGATATTAAGTAGAATTAATGTTTTTTAATCTTTCTTACCCAAACTGTAACAAGTTTGTCTTCACGTGGCTCATTTAAGTCCATATAGGCAAGACCAGCTGTTATTGAAAAAGAAATAATTTTCAAACCTTAACTGAAGGAGGCATTTGCCTGCAAGGCATACCATTGCTTCAGAGTAAAATGCTATCACAAATTCATTATTTAAATAATAAAATGCAGTTGTGTTTCCTGGCTCCTTCAGCCCAGTTTTTGTAGATTCACAGAATAAGGACCAGATCTCCCTGAGAGTTGTGAAAGTTAACTGTCAGCAGTTACTAAATATATGTCTCAGTGTAGATGGTGAGGAGAAGTGCTTTCCACTATAATGTGTGGAGTATTAATAGTTTTCAAAACTTTGCAATGTGGAATTAAGATTTCTTGGCTAGAGAGAAGTCTGCATAGAACGTGTGGCTCAAAGGCAGTTTTTAACTCAATAGTTTCATATTATAATTCATATATTTCATCTACATACTGTGAAAATCTGGCATTTGTTTTATTTGGTTTTATGGTGCTTGTAATTTTTTGAAAATGTATTTTCACGATACCTCCAACTCCA